TAAGGCCAATATTCAGATATCAACCTAGGCAAAAACAAAACTGAATCAAGTCGATACGCGCAACATAGGAAGGTGGATAAATAGGATTGGTCGAAAAAGTACTCCTTAGAATTCGACCCCTGCAAACAGATATAATTTGGCGAAATAGGAGGTAAAATTAGAATACGAAGTTTGTATATAAACTTGAGGAATTCATCCAAATTTTACTTTTAATGCGAGCAAAGTGCAAAGTAGTCGTCCAGATATCTCATAAGCATTCTTGGTTGCTTTAACTAGGATTCTATGAGAATAAGAGCAGAAATTGGGAAGACGGCAAAAAGTGGATATTCTGCCTTTATGTAAACTGATCCAGAAATTGCGACAGTTATGAAAGACAAAGGAATATCAAGGTAAATCAAAATAAAAGACAGCACTCTTCACAATCCTGCCAACGCAGTGCGAGAAGTTTGACAAATAGGATTGCTCGGGCGTCTATAGCATCAAATGCGGCAGCTTAGCAGAAGCATATTGGTGAAACAGGAAGAAAAATTAGCATACGAATAAAGAAACACCAGAGATTCTGAAGGAACAAGGACACTAAAATATCCGAAATAGCGGAACACATGGAATGAATGGGTCACGACATCGAATGGAAATCCACAAAAAGTCTGGGTGCATGTTGTGGAAATACAAGAAAACGTAAGATACTAGAATTAGTTGATATCATGACTGAAACTAACCTAATGAACAGGAGACTTGAAAAAGGCAGGATTAGAAAAAACTTCGCATACTGCCTAAAAAAACTCGGAGGAGTTCAGAGAACAGGAATATCAGCAAAAAGAAGACGACTAGACAAAGGTAAAACTTTTGATTTTAGGAAAATAGATTCCAAGGAGACCAGAGAGGATCAATCGGAAACAAAAAAAGATGCCTACAGTGAGTTGGTTTACGATATTGGAATCTGCAGCGTCATGCTATGCTGCCATGAAAATTGAGAATACAGACTTTATTGTCTTGCTCAGTAAGGCAGACTTATATTTGCTATAGCATTCGTTTTTACAACTTTTGTCGTTATTGGGCAGGTTTTCGAGACTACTATTAAATCAGATAAATGAATAGTGCTTACTCTATTTGGTATAAGGTGATAAAAGACTTATATTTTTACTTTTCCACAATGCTATGCGCAGAGCTGATATTTCAATTGATTTTCACATAGACTTGATTTCCCAAAAGGTGTTCCCATACTTAATGATATCAAAACTATAGTTCACCGCTATGACAACACGACCAAATATCGAAATTCCGACCACATAAAAATGGAATTTTCTAATTGAGAATGAATTTCCCAATAGTGTTAAAAAAAGTTTTTATGCCTTTACAAATTTTGCATATGTTTGATACAGACAAAGAGTGCTAAATTTAATAATTTAAGTGTAGATTTACATCCTTCTAACAATTTATCTACACTTCAAAAACCAATTTGAAATAGTTATTTGCCAAATAAAATTATATATCAATTTAACCATTTTAATACTTAAAATTATATATTTACTACACATTTGACACAATCTTATATTTATCATGATTTTCGTTTGATTGCTTTATAATTCAGACCAGACTTTAATTCGACTCCTCGTATGCTCGCCAGAAATTTCTTAAAATTTTCAAAGGCTTTTACGTGTTCTCTACAAAGTACATATTGAGTGTTATTTTTGTTTGCATTCATAGTTTGTTTCTGCTTCTTTTTAAGCAAAATTTTACCCCTTTACTTTTTTAATGTTTACCATGTCATAAATAAAGATATTTTCCTTTTTTAACTCTTAACATTTATTATGCATCTTTTGATTTATATATATATTTACCCCTCTAAATACGCATATGTGTTTATGGTGCTCCGTCTTTGGTTTTGGCCCATTTGATCAGCTTCTTTTATTTTCAGCCCTTCCTGGACGTTATGTTTCTACATCTCAATCTTCTATTCTAAGAAAGTCACCTGAGCGTGAGCCTAATTCTGTCGAAGTATTTGTTGATGGAAGATCCGTACTTTGTGAGTCTGGCATGACTGTGTTGCAGGCTTGCGCTTTGGCTGGTGTTGAAATACCTAGGTATGCTATCCTTTGCGAATCTAGTACTTTTAAAATGACGTAATATTTTCTAAAATCAAGTGTTTATTTCCATTTAAGATAGCCTAGTTTATCACCTTATTTACATAAACTGGTTTTCGATGGTTCCGGCTTAATTTTTGTTGGAGATAATATTTTCTAGACTATCATGCCTTAATTTCGTATTTGATTATATGTGGCATCATATAAATATTATATAATGCCGTTTTTTTATCATTTTTTATTAGCTTTTTATAATTTGTCATTAATTGTTATGCGCCTTATTTTTTATAATCATACCAGTAACAAACCATTGACATAATCCCGATTCATTTACTGCATTGATTGCTCGATATTTATTTTTTTGCCTAGGTAGGATAAAATAGATACATATATGGGTAAGAATTTGCTGTATAAATATTTATATTTATGTAGAATGAACTCTGAAAGACTCGCTTAGTTATATCTTGCAAATTCGGTCTTAACTGGTCTAAAGGATAGGAACTGTCCCTATAATGTATAACGCTTGCGCTCTACAACGTGATACAAGTTTGAATGCCCCGGAAAGAAGAAAGAAACGGAAAAACTTATAACCAAGTGTCATATTCAGAAACGGCCAAATTATAGTATGAAACATTTTAGTGAAAGTCAATTATTCAGCTGCGTTTAATATAAGAGTACACTCAGTTTTGTCTTATATAAACCACTTGCTACCTGCTCCATATTTCTGTTAGCGGAAATAGGTAAATCTGTGCGCCTACCAAGAATACAACAGATTATTTGCAATACAAATGTTAAAAATCTAATAATATTGACTTCTGTGAAATATATTTCTTAGTTTCCATATAGCCAGAAGAAAGTTGATAAGAATTCGTACCTTGTGTACTTAGTATATGCGAAAAAAATAGGGTTTCGAGGAATCTCTTGTTTCATAATTGTTGAGCTTACCTTCATCTCGAGTGAAAGTATTTAGTAAAGAGATTCTAAGTTCGATTTCTCTTAGCCAGCTGTCTATTGGCTTCACGGGAAGATTCATGGTGACGCTGTTTTCGAGGTAATCTCCTTCGATTCCGATGAGGTATTAATCTTTCGTCCGTTATATGACTAACATCAGCAGAACAAGGTATCATCATCGTAACCTAATTCAAGCTACCGAGCGATTTGGGAGAGACCTGATTTTCCTTGAAAGCCACATGTATTCTATTGCCCATTGGAGCCCATGGCTGTTAGTAGATTGATAACTCAGAAACCTACAGACTTTTATTTAGGATCCCATAGAGAATCTTAATGCCAGACTTAGGGAATTACTTAACGTTTGTGTAAACAGAGGAGAAATTGAGAAGTGGAAAATGAATTCACCTCTTCAAAGGGATGCTAGGGCATCCCAAAGAGGAGGATCTTTAGTTAGTTTTTATGTGGTATCAATGTATACTAACATCTCAGTTCAAAAGGCTATTAAAATGCTATCACTTAGTCTGGATGAGCACCTAGAAAGTATTAAGGAAGCAACTATGAACGGGAGCTTCTTAATCTATCCATAAGTAGTACATACTTCACCTTTAATGATAAGGCTTATGAACAGGTGCAACGTTTAGCGATGGGATCTTACTTGGCTTCCATTTTAGTTAATAATTACAATTCAAGAATGGAGGAACACTTCATGGAAGAGGTAATATTGACACCCTAACTGTTAGTTAGATATATGGTTAACTACCTTGCCATATGACATCATGGCAAGGATAGATTACATAATTTTTTGTTCTTATTTGACCAGATTGATTGCAATGGCATGTTGACAATGGAGATGGAGAAGGACAATAATTTACCCTTTTTTGATGTCTTAGTGATAAGAGCAGGTGAGAAGTTAGGCAGGGATGTATATAGAAAGTTAATGCACATATCCTTAACTTCTCAAATTGTAGTTATAAAACATAGGTTGGCGTTTTAAAATCTATGATTATTCGGAGCATAAGACTAGCCGATAGAGACGATTGTGTCAATAAACAGGATCGGCTTAAAATAATATTTCTTGAGAATAATTATCCCCTAAACTTG